GAAAACAAGCTCAGGGCTCCCACTACGTGCGTATTACGGTGAGTTTTATGACTATTTTATTTGGGTCACAATATGATAGCAAGAGATAATATGCACTATAAATGTCCTTGAAGCAACTTCAAACTCATCCCCTCCTTCTGTCTCATTCCAAGGAAAAATTGTCTTCCACAAAACCAGTCCTTGGGTACCAAAAACGCTGGGAAATGACGCTTTAAAAATATTCATGTAAAACTCAGTGTGTATTCACAGAGAAAGCCAGAGAGACAATGTTTATACTAGATCCACTGGGATGATCTCTTAAACATCAGCTATATTTATCACCTGGTCACCAAAAAACCAACAGGCTGGCAACGGATTTATTGTCCTGCATAGGGAAAATAACTGCGACCATCGGCAGAAAGGAAGGCTGCTGTTATAAAACAAGGGCAGGAAGGAATGTTTGCAGGAAGGTGTTACCTGGAATGCTGCTTGATGCTGCCTTGGAATTTAAACACTAATAACCGAGTGCAGTGGTCACCGCGGAGAGACAGGGTCCCTTATATCTGAGCCCTGTGGACAAGGACTGGGCCAACCACTTGGTTCCTCACCTAGAAGAGTAGGTGTGGAGCCGCAGAGGAGCCAATCTGAAGGGCAGAAGAGAGGGGACGATGACGATGATGCAGGAGCAGTCCTGTGGTGCATACAGTGGTGTCTGGCTCTCTCCTTCCAGCAGTGAGGTGGCGGGGTGCTGGCAGCTGGGGGATCTCAGCTCTGCTTCTCTCTAGAGTCCTGCCCTCTGAGAATGCAGAGAAAAAGATGATTCTGTCCTCTTGCTACGATATGACACTTCGGAACGGCCAACTTACACTATGCTTTGGCTCTGTACACATCTGCCTCTTTCTCTGCCACATTCTCATTCTCTTCCTCCTTCTCTTGGGAGTGTGTGTGTGTGTGTGTGTGTGTGTGTGTGTGTGTATGTGCATATGTGTGCATGTGTGTGAATGTGTGTGGGGGAGTGAGTGTGTGTGTGTGCATATGTTGTGAAAAGTATTTTCCAGTAAAAATCTTGCATGCAAATCTTTAACTTGGAGTCCTGGGAACAAACCTATTACATTTGGTTTCAACTATAAACTAGCTTAGGTCTGTTACTGGAAAACACCTTAAATAATGTTATTATTCTATTGCGAATCTTAACTGATAAGGGGAACTTCACAGTATATTGAGAAGAGATTGTGATCTGATTTCCCAATTTGTTTAACACTAGCCTTTAACATGTACACATGGTATATTTAAGTCTATCATGTCAAGTTAGCTTTGTAGTCTCAGAAATCCAGCAAAGACGCTGAAGGGAAATGATCACAGTGTTTGGTATGAGCTCTGTGAATTATAGATTTTTCCTCAGAACATGACTAGAGGACACCCAACATAATTATAAAGCACTAGCTGGCCATAAGTAAAAATAGCAAGGTAATAAAAATCATCTATATTGGATGCCCCAGATGTTGCAGAAAAGCTGTTTTATGTGCCATGCCATCAACTGCAGTTACTCAGTGTCTCTTCTTCAAGATCTTTCATCTTTTGCTTAAAAAAATTCTGATTATGCACCAGTCACTTACCACTTGACTCATTCATCCAATCCGTGAGGAAGGTTCCTTGTAATTTAGGGAATGAAGTAGCAGTATTAATCTCCAAAATGAAAATCCTTCAAATATGCTGGAGCTGCTCACTGAAAGCTTGCGTTATGCATAACAGGATCTCCGTTGCCTTGCAGGGAGATGGGCTCCCTGCAGAGGTCTTCAGAAAGAGAAACAGCATTTTAGTAACCCTTCCCCGGGTAGTTACATACACATTACAGCATCAGCACTGAGCCAGAGAAGGAAGAATTCTCACATTTGTTCAAAATGAAGTTTTTTATTACACTTGAGATCATTTGCACTTGAACGAGTTGAGAAGATTCCAAGGTGTTTCCCCAGCCTGCAGGGATGCACATGCTGCGAATTTCAGGAAAAGTGGTCGGAGATACTGGGCCATGGCGAGGTCTTCACTGACCCCTGAATAAAAACAACACCTCTTTTCCCTTTCACGGCAGTGCGTGTTTCTCAAAACCTGTATTTTACTGATGGCAGCACATACTGTAAGAAGTATGTCAGCAGTAGTTTTAGCACCCTTGACTGGGATTTCCCTTTTCCTGTTTTATTTGCTATGTCTGCAGCAGTAGCTGCAGTGATCATTTGTGCTCCTTTTTCTGCTGATAGATAGAAGACTGGTAAACTTCTCAGACAAACGGCGTCTTGGGGTCTCTCTTATGGTGAGGAACTTGGAAAAGCCGGATGGTTGGACTGTGCCTCACACAGAAGGCCCTGTTCAGGGCAGCCACTTCCTGCTGTGCATTCCGGGAAGCAGAAGTTTGCTTGCATCAGTCTGAGAGGGCAGCAAACACAGAGGGAGTCTGCTGTGTGCCTGCTCCTATCAATGCAGGCCTTGATACTATGCCAAAAGGGAGGCATGTTTGCCTTAAAGTCCAAAAGACTTCCTTTAGATGAGTGTTTAAATAACTGGAAGATAAGTTATTGTTCTAAAATTTAAGATTGCTTCCTTGAAGGGAAGAAGCTGTTCGGTGAGTGCAGCAGCAGCAAGGGAAGGAGGGGAGGGTGAGAGGGACCTGCAGACCTCCAGGGCTCAGGAGAACCCAGAACGGGGCTCCTGGAGAAGTCCCCGGGCAACTGCGCTTAGGGGCTTGAAATTCCATAGTGCAGGTAGGAATAAATCGTGCTGTAAATCTTCATTTTTTCTGCCAAACCACCAAAAAAGAAATTGTACACAAGGCAAAAGTGTTTTGGAAACAATAACAGTAGTAGTAAAGTGATTTGTCTAGAAAATAATACTTAAAAGTTTGCCTGTAGGCAAAAAAAAAAAATAGTTTGAAAATAGTGGAGTAGAAAAATATGACACGGTGTCACAAAAATAAAATAGCGCTTGGACAGGAAATTTCCAGAAGCTGTGCGGGTAAATCTTTAAATGTCTGTTAAGGAAAGAAAAATAATTAAATAACAAGAAAATAAAATACCTCATTTATATATAGCCAATAGGAAAAAAGGGACAGTTTTTCTGACTTGCATTGTAAGAACATGCGGGTTAGAGCTCACCTGGGAGCGTCCTCGGGGGAGACTGCAGTAGTCACTGTACAGGCAAAACAAAGTCCAGCTGGCAAGGCAGCCCGGTGAACGCTCACCAGCAGAAGCAGAACGCTGGGAGCTGGGGTGAGCGTACAGCTACGTCTTGGAATTTAGAAATAAAAAAGTGAGTTTAGAAATTAGTGGCAAAAGGACTATTTTAGAAACGATATTGGGTGATTAGCAGGCATTTTAGAAGACATAAAATACTGAGAAATGAAAACAGGAGAAAGGCAATTGCAGGAAAATGTAATTTTACTTTTAATGTTTAATTTTATATCTCTGACATAGAAACAAAACCATAAGCAAATACAATAAATCGCTAAATTTTGACCAATTTCCATTCTGGGAGACCATTCATTAAGTTCCACGAAGTGAGTTTTAGGTTCCTTTGACACAAATATACAATGTAAAGTATAAAACAGCAAACACATACACAAATATCGTAATAAAGTATTTTTATTTTTACAGCTACCTTAAAGTGGTGGTGCAGGGTTAGGGGTGGGGTGAGCTACTCCCACAATTTGTACGTCTAAAATGCTGATCAGGGTGAGGGCCTCTTTGTGAAAGGCACAAATCCAACAGAAGTTGTTGATTGACTGCAAATCGAAAAGAAAGCACAAATGAGAATAGTTGCACACATGTTACAGAAAGCTAATTTCTGTCACATAAAAATAAATGATAGAACATTTTAGAAAACTGGGTAAAGAATAGGAGTAAGAAACTCAGCAGAAATACAGAGGATACATGTGGAATGTGAACTTCAAGACTAATTGAGAAGACATCACAGTATTTCAGTGGACAACAGAGAAATACTTTTAACTAACCTCTTACTAGTGATTAAAATACTCAATAGAGCAGGAAAAGAAATTAAATCCAATTTATCAATTATGTGTAAGGCCTTAGGAATAGTTTCCAAAATTGTAGGTCATATAAGAAAGTACCACTAGATGGCAGGATGTAAGATCAATATAAGAAATGACTCATAAAAGAGTCACTCACTGTAATACGCAGTCTACACACCCAACCTTCCAAAACAGCAACAATAATACGGAATCTATACACAGACAGAACCAGAAATCTACGTAAACATGGTGAAAAATTATACAAGATACATTAAATATTTTAAAATGAAAAATATCCTATATTCATGGATACTTAAAGTATCAATTCTTACTTCAATCCTAATTCTCTAGATTTTTTTCCATGGAACTTAGAAAATTGATAGTATAATTAGTAAGACTTCTTATTAAGCTGAATTTAGCAAATGATGAAAGAGGACACTGGTTCTGTCAAATTCAAAATCTCTTATAATCTAAAATTTTTAAAAATGAATTAAAAGTGGCATATTCAAAGTTGAAAGATGTCTATGGCAGGTCATTTGGAAGAATAACTCAAATATATTGAATATATAAAAGGAAAAGCATTGAAAATATTGGCAGGATGCAAAAATATGAACTTAAGAATTTGTTTTGTATATTGAAAAATGCTTTGACAAAAATATTCTAACAATTAAAAGTCAACTTTCATATGGAAAATGAGTTTTGAATTTAACCACACACAAAAAAACTAACAGAAATACACAAAAAGAAAAAGGGAGAGGGAGAGAATGGGAGGAGAGAGAGAGAGAGAGAGAGAGAGAGAGAGAGAGAGAGAGAGAGGCACGAATCTATATTTTGGATCTCTCTAATAAATAGGAAACACATTCAATTAGGACAAAACAATTCTATGGAAACTTGTGCAGGTGGAAATTTGATGAAGTCAACACTTTTGATGTGTGTTCCTTTCAAGTACACAAAAGTCACATTGTCATAAAATGTACAAGTACACATTTACCTTTTATATGCAGTAACCCAGTGGAGGAAAACAAAACAAACAACCAAAGTATGGAAACTGGATTTCCGTCACGGAGACCACAGGCAGTTCCTGAAGTTCATGCACACAAGGTAATTATAAGCTAATTCCCCAAATGGCCAAATTGCCAAGTTTCCCCCCAAACTAATACAAACTCACCAAATACCAAATTTCAACTCTTAAACATGTTTATAGGAATCCTGTAAGGTAAGCCGCTTGGAACCTTCCAAGCTGTGTTTTGCCTCCTATTAAGGAAGCCCCAGCTGTGGTTCTGCAATTCGCAGCTGCCGCAGAGGCATCAGAACTCAGAGAAGGGCACCGGCCCTGCTCCCAGCAAGGATGCCAGTCAACCAGGCCGGGATGCTCCGTGCACAGCAGGTGTGGGCTTCGCAGAGTGGGAACCGGGTCTGAATTCACCTTTACACTGAGCTACAGCCCCGCCCCCTTGAATTCCTAATTTTATACCCGCATCTTGTTAAGTCACTAAGTTGCCTGGGCGCCGTTCCAAGTCTCAGAGTGCTGGGATGCCAGGCCTGTGCCACCCTGCCTGGCTGGATCTCCCCCTACTTTAAAAAAATGGCATATTTTACTTTCTAAACAAATTGACTTAAATTTGCAATAACCTGCAAAAGCTGGCAGAACTATTTCACTGTTTAAAACTTTTGTGAGTTCTATACACAGTTGGTTTTTCACCTTATTTCATGCTATATTGACAAATTATTATTGAACAAAAAATTAACTTCAACTTAAAATCGCGTACATTGCTATAATTTTTCCAGAAGTAAGGGTAAAGCAATCTCACTTCTGGGTATATGTCAAAAGAATTTAAATCCATATCCCAATGTGTGTTCCACATTTAATGCAGTATTCTTTACAGTAGCCAAGATAACACCCAAGCCAAGATGGATGAATTTTAAAAGTGCCTCATATGTACATGACGGTATACTACTCAGCCTTTAAAAAGACAAGAATTCTATTATTTCACCAACAGAAAGCTGTAAAAGAACATATTGCAAATTGTAATGCATCAGAGTAAACATTTGGTACAATACCTTTTAATAGGTTCATTTTGGCTGAACTGGCTGAATAAATTGTGCCATATGTATATGCGATAATGCTTTATAGTGTAAACTAATGAGGTAGAACACACTCTATGATACATAAACCTATCATATTGAATGATACTGTTATGGTTTGTGTCTTGATGTCCCCCCAAAACCTCATGCAGTCATGAGAGCAGGCTTTTAAAACATGTAACTGATTCATGGTCCAATGCTGGGATTATGGGTGTGGGTGCTATAGTCACCCTAGGGTGGGTGTGGTTACACACAATGTAAGGGACAGAAAGGGTCCTCTCTGCACGCCCCTCCCTTTTTGATATTGTTGCTTTTGTTGTCTTCTGCCACCTCCAGGTGTCGCCCTGTGCTATGCCATCCTGCCTTGGTGCCAGCTGCTTAGGGACTGAAGCCTCCACAAGCTGTGAGCTAAAAAGCCTTTCCTTCCTTAACTTTGGGTATTGGGTATTTTGTCTCAGCAACAAAGAGAAAAGTAATCAAGACAGATATTGAGTAAACAAAACAATACATTTCTGCAGGTAAAAAACTGAAATTACGCTTTCAAATAGTAATAGGGGAGCCCCTAAGGAAGGAGATGTTAGTGTCGAATCTGATAGCAAAATTTGATAATGTTATTCAGATAATTAGCTATCAAATTTACATGCTTGTGCAATGAGGAATTTAATTTGCGCCTTGCCCTCCTCTTGGTGTTGGGTGACCCTCCCCCATCACATGGCTGCTCAGGCCCCAAACACTCTGAATTGAGGTGCTTGGATTTATGGACCTGTTGCCAACTGCTGGCCACTCACAGTTAAAACCTTAAGTGCTGGGGCCCCGGCTGTGTAAGGTTTCTATTACTGCCCACCGTGCTCTCTGGCTGTGCTGAAAAAGCTCATATTCACAGCCTCTGAAGCAACACCGAGACTGCAGCTGTGGACATTTGGTTCTCATTCCTGTTCCAGAACAATAAGCGCCAACCTAGGGGGTGAGACAGCTCTCCCAATCAGCGAGATTTACAGCCTAGAATGTCTCTGTTCTGTTTCTCAAGGTCTGGCTCACTTTCATGGGCTTTTTCTCCACTTCCTGTGCTTCCCCTCCCCTGCCAAGTTGTTCAGGATTCAATAAATAAGGACAGTCCAGAGAAGTCTTCTTTTCCGCTCCAACACAGTCCTGGCCTTCCTGGACTCCACATCACATTGTGCTCTTTTATTTAAGCCTTTGCCTTACATAGGAGATCGGGAGCCTGGCCTAGCCCCTGCATTCACAGAAACAGGAGAACAGTATCTGTAAATTGGGGTTTAATTTTTTTTTTCACAGAGGACTGTCATATATCATCTTCTGTCTGTCCCCATGAACAAGCAAGGCTTTGGCCTCCCGGAGAGGTGGGAGCTCAGAAGAGTTGTGGAGAGGAGGCGACCAGCATCCCTTGGATTTTGTGCAGTACCAAATCCTGTAATTAACTGAAGAATTACAACATTTTCCAGGGCGTCTTCTGTCATGCTCCTGTCCCTCAGACTTCTCTGCCCCAACCCCACACCCTCCATGTAAAGGGGACACCTGCAGTGACCACAGTGGTGTTTGTAAGACAGAAGCAGAGTGCTGGGGTGCATCAAGGAAGCGTGACAGGGAAGCCTGCTCCAAGCAGGTTCTCCAATCCGTGTCATCTTGAGCTAAGGAAATTTTGAATTAAGATACTGAAGACTTGACTTAAATCAATTTAGGACTTTTCTCGATCTAAAAATGTAAACATTATTATTATGCTTGGAAGTCACCATAATCCTGAGGGGCTTAGATATTTCACATGGGAGTTGGGAAGTTGAGTAAATAAGAGAAGAAAAACAAGGAGAAACAGGACTATTGATTGACCATGCAGTGTGTAGCTTATTTGATGTGCTGTCTCTCACACACACACTCACGCGTGTGCCCACACACATACGCACACACGCATGCACCATAGACCCCCAGTTTTCTGAAGGCTAAATTTGAAGCTCAGGTATAAAATATTTTTCCATTTTACTGTATAGAAGTAATTGTCTTAAAGTTGGTTTAAATGTATGTGCTGCATTAAATCACAATAAAGCTTTATCTATTTGCATACAGCTGTTGCTATTCATGGCATGAAAACACAGGCTTTGTTTACATGGTGGAGCAGAGAAACCTACATGAAGTGAGATATGCGAAAGGTCAATCATTCAGCTTAATCAGGAACTGAATAATTCGGTTTCTTCAAAAACTTGTAGCAGTCCTAATGTCTGCATTCTGCTGAAATTAAGACCAAATGCTAACCCTCAGCCCTAGTTGGTCATTACCATGGTGATGGCCAGTGCCACGGGAAGATTATACCTCATCGTTCTCTTGCTTAGTAACTGGTCAGGGCTATCTCTAGTTTGGTTTGTTGTTTGTTTTTTAGTTAAAGCCCTTTTTTTAAAAAAAAAAAAAAAAAACTAAACAGAAAAAGGGATAAAAACGATATAGAATTTCAACAAATAGTAGGAAATTAACATCAGCAAACACTTAGAAGTAGCTGTTCGAGTTACAAATCTAGGCATAAAACGTGAACACACAATGACAGCACAAACTTCCTTTCGATGAACTAACAAGATTAGCAGTGTAGCTGTCTATCTTGTATACACATGCATGCATATACTTACATATCTGTAACTACACACATATAATCTTTCCTCCTCCTCTCCTGTCCCCTACTCCTGTGTTCTTTCCTTCTGAGCACTTTCTTTTCCTTTCATTATCACTGTATCTATTGTACATTTTGGATCTTATTATCCTTTCAGTTTTTTAAGGCTACTAAGTCTTATATTTGGGGAAATGTTTTATATTCCCTGGTAATAGTGATGTGGATATGAGGAGAGAGATACATTTCCCACCACTGAAAAGACAGTAATCTGATTAACTTTTTAAAAGTATCCTTACACAAAATAACCTCAGCAGTCTGAAGAACTTGAGACCAAATTCCGGATGGAAACTACATGTATGCTGCACACTGTGTGTGTGTGTGTGTGTGTGTGTGTGTGTGTGTGTGTGTGTGTGTTACACTACCTTCATCTGACATGCCTTGTGCATCTAGGATGTGCCTCACACTACAGATCATCTGAGCAGTCAGATTATGTACTGGGGATGATGGGAGAATAAAAATGTTCAAGGTGGATGGTTAGCCCAAGTAATTATAAGAGAAACCGAAGGTGTGCGGAGGCTGAACTGTGAGGGATATATTTGGTGGAGCCACACGTGGGGCACAGCGACACAACTGACTTCACAGTGTGTCCCTGCAGTAAGGTGAGCAGGGCAGCCTCCCTCATGATGCCCCACTCCGAGGGTAAAAGTCCTCAGTGGAAGCCATTGAGTTAGCAGGGGACCAAGACTTCTATTCGTCTTTGTAACTCTTATGACATTCACAGACTTCATACGTGGTTTGTTTGCTTTCACAGCTGAGAAATTCCTCACACTTGCAGAATCCTCCATTCTTGGGTGCAGGACACTCTTACTCCCTCACAATGCTAATTTGTTCCATAAATCATCCTTTGTGGCCAAGGCTTGGTTTCTGTTTCGTGGCTGCTAGAGAGAGGCTGAAATTTCTCCAGTCATTTTTGTGAGGACTGCTTAGCAATGCTTGGGTGGAGCTGGCTGCACACGTGGCTTAGCTCGGGGCCTGTGAGATGAGATGAAATGTGCTGCTTCTGTGACATGTCTGTAATTGCAACCTAGAGGAACAGAGACCTCCAGGAAGCTTGAGCTCTGCGGGTAAGGTGAGAGGATTACGCCTGATGGCAGTGTGCTGCTATGCATGCTACAGAAAGGTGAGATTTCTCTTTGCAGTATTATAAAATATAGCAACTATAAATATAGAATAAGACATTGTCTTGCAAAATGAGTTTTTGCTCTAAATTTTCCTCCAAATTCTGTGTTGTTTGAAGGATTCACATGATTTGCTTCCCTGATAGCTGCTTTGGACCCTAAAGCACACATTTCATTCCCCGTGTCATGAGCTCTGCCACTTAGAGCCATTCCATTTCCACAATTTAGGGACCCATCTATTAAAAATAATGGATTAAATTGCTCAGCAGTTAATTTATCTTAATTTTGAGTAATGCATTTCAGCTTTCAATTATGTTAATAAAAATGTTTAGTTTGAGGAAAGTCATGTCAAACAGAAATATTTTACAATAATCCCCAAAATTCTTATGCAAAGAACCAAAACAATTTTCAAAGAGCCCTAGTGTCTAAAATTTTTAATTGAAATTGTCTTAAGTGGGGCTTATCATTTAATGGGGCACTATAGGCAATATCGCTCTCAGAAAATAGCCATTTCTAAATATCATGACATTAAAGCAGGGCATAAAGAATCTTCCATGACAATTCTGCAACACATTGCATACACAAATTGAAGTAATGATAGCTAGATGTTTTGTACTAATGGACTCATTACATTGATACAAAGCCAGGTTTCTTTGGTCAATGAATACATCACGAAATGAAAAGTTCCTGTGAACTCGCTTCCTTTCTATGTCAATATTCCCTTTAATACATTCAAATGTATGTTTGAAATTCAATGCCAGAATTTATAGAGAGAGGGAGTCAGAGTTCAAATTCTGGCTTGCCTCACGAAATTTCAGATGCTTGATTTTCTCCAGGATGGAAGTGAAGATTACAGTACTCTTTCCCGAGTTCCTCCTTCTCTGCATTATTCTGAGTAACAGATAAGTAGTTAAAGGACTCTTAGGAGTGACATCATCAGGATGGCACAGTCGCAAACATGAGTCTTAAATTCCTACAAAGGAATGCATGTGCACACAGCCATCAAAACTAAAGTAACACTGAGAGGGCCAGAGAGCTTAGAGAAGCTGTTGAACTAGAGACTCCAGAGTCTCAGTGTATAATTAAAGAAGACGAACGTACGCACACAGAAATCACTGCTGTGAGATCATCATACCTGAGAAGTGGCTAGAAAGAGAGAAGAAGGCCAGACTATTGGTGTCAGCTCTGCAGCAGGAATTACTTTGGACTCAATATCCTGCACTGTAGAAGACACCAGCATCCTCTCAAAATGAGTCAATTGGAAGCCATTCTAATCAAGAAACCCTGAGGAGAAAGTCGGAGTGGCACATGTGTCCTACACTCAAGAAGCAGCCACTTTGAGCCACACCAGGGATGGGACTCCACGTCTTCTAACCCTGTTATGCCCCAATCCCCGATCCATGGTGGTGCCACAAACACCCAAGCTTACAGACTGCAGCCACTCAGGTCTCAGGGAGCAGTGCCACTTCATGCTAGTGTGTACTCCAGGCTGCAGGTTGTTGCATCTCTGAGCACACCTGCACTCCAGACACCAGCTCTGCTGCTTTGCAGACTGAGGACAAACCCAGCCCCAGAACCACTGCGACCCTACAGAAGAAAGACCAGGGGCTGCTTCCTAGTTGCTTACCCAGCACTGGTTCCATCCAGGCTGTTCCCTGTGCAGAGGAGGGAGTGCCTGTGCCCCTGGCACCAGTGGCACCACCATCCTGAAAGTGCCACTCAAAGAGTGGCACTTAACAGATGCTGGATGCCACTGCCAGCATTGTGGCTCCCAAAGAGGAGCAAGCATCTAGGTGAACCCTCTCGGCCACAGATTTCCTTCAGGGAGAAAAAGCAGCCCTAGCTGCCTTAGCTGCCATCACCACTGCAAACTTCGGGAATCTCTGTGACTGTAGACAGTCATGGTGTGGGCTGCTAAGAAGCCTTGCAGTGATTGCCAGTTAGCATCTCACCAAATGGAGCTCTGAGGACATTGCACCCTAAAGGACTGTTCCCCTCCTAAAGTACCCCACCCACCTTCTTCTAGGGGGCAGTCATCCCATACCAATCTAGCCCTTAAATCTAGAGGACGTGACCTTTCTAGCAAATACACAGATATGAGCATAAGATGGTGATAAGACTTCAAGGACTCACCGTAATTTCATAGACGTTAATCCCAAAGAAATAGTCAAATAGAAACTGCCAAGCATCCAAAATAACTGTTTTAAAGATACTCAGCCAACTTGAGGAAGACACACAGAAGCAACTGAGTGAAAAGAGGAAAAAAAATGAACTAAGAACTTCAACAAAGTGGTTGAAATCATGTTCACAAATAGGAGTTCTTGAGCTGATAAAATGCAATGAATGAAATAAAAAATGCAGTAGATATTGTCAACAATGGAACTGGTCAAGGAGAAGAAAGAAACTGTGAACTTGAAGACAAGGTTACATGAACATGTGTAGCCAGAGGAGAACAACAGCAACAACAGCAAAAGAAAGAAAAGAAATTTTTAAAAAGCTTATTTGATATACAAGCAGCATCAAAAGAAAAATAAATTTTGATTTTCGGAGTTGAAGAAGAAAGAGACAAAGAGATATAAAGTTTAAGAGAAAAATGGAAGAAACTTTCCAAACCTGGGTAAAAATATAAATATCCAAGTACAGGCAGATCCAAGGTACCTAGTGAGACTCTATTCAAACAGAAGTATATTAGGATGCAAAGCAAAACGTTGTGTTGTGCCTCATCCATATGTATGAGTATTATGTCAATCAAAAATAAAATAAAATGGAAATATGAACAAGAATTTTAAAAAATAAAAGAAGATTTAAAAAAAAAACAGCAAGAGAAAAGCAACTCATGCATAAGGTAGTTTGGATACAGCTATTAGCAGATTTCTTAGTGCAAATGTACAGCCCAGAAGAAAGCAGGATTATCTATATTCAACACCCTGGAGGAAAATCCTGACAACCAAGAGTGTGACACCTGGAAATCTGGGCCCCACAGACGAAGGGGCAATAAACATCTTCCTGAACAGACAACAGAAGAGGAGATTCACCTCCAAGAGAGCAGTCTAAAAGAATGCTAAATATAATTCCTCAGGCTGAAAGAGAACTAATTAATAAGTAATGACTTATTTTGCATTCAGTACCTAGTGAGTTGTGTAGGGTTTGCATTGCTCATAGGGAAGGAAGATTTGAAAACAGGAGAGAAAAGTCCTGTAAAGTCTTTTAAGTTTTAGCTTCCGAGTTAGCACAGTATCAATTTTATCCATTTGCTAAAGAATAACATGACCAAACCCAA